TTCCTAAATTTATTGCCACAAATTTTGATTATAATCAATCTTACACCCTATTACTCAGTCTTCTAGCTCTACATTCCTCATGAGATATGGCCATTAACATGACCATGTCATGGTTGTTGAAATGGGTGTATCTCTTACTCTAACACCATTTTTACTCTAATTGGCTTCTTTCCCTCATTCTTGGAATCTTGGTGATTGATTCTTTCCAAAATTAAATACATACTGTATTAGTGGTGGAGGTGGCATGGCAGTCCCAATGGTTAGATTAATTAATAAATCTACAAATAAGTTAAAAGTTTGATGTAATTGACCTAGTTAGATTGTTATAGACTCCTATTATAGAATATATATTTGATTGCTTCCAATAGGTTTAGCAGCTTGGTGGGAATAAAGCAAAAATCCAAAGCTTTATAATCCAAGAATTAAAGGAACCACAAAAGTGTAAATTCTTTAAGTGATAGTGAGCTAGAATGTCATGATAATCCTATCTTTGTAGCCACATCAAATATCCAAGAGACCCTAAATCAGTGGTAGCTCAAGCAAATATAATTATGCCATATCTCTAATATTTTAAAATCTAAAAGAAAAGAGATGCAAATGTTGGAAGGAGTCTTGTATTACATATATACATTTCCTTTTTTTTTTAAGTTGTGAATGTATGGAATATGGAAATGGAATACAAAAATATGCATATCAATTAGCCCAAAAACTTTAGTTTATATATAGGAGCAAGTGGTCTAGATTGAAACTAATCTATCGGCTATCAAAATCCCACTACGTTAATATTAATATACAACATTGTAACCATACACTTGGCATCCCCTCCTCTTTGAATGATGGAAGACAATCAAAGTTCTCTAATGGATAAGTTAAGAACACATTAGTGAATTTGTAAGTGGTGTCAATTGTTCTTGATCCCTTTATATGAAGTGTTTTAATTGCTACACATGCACAATTTCTAGAGGATCAGCTTGTTAGACGTCATGCCAAACCTCATAAACTTGCAGTTCAACTTCCTGCAACATCTAATACAGTCCTTTCCATTGAGCAAGAAGCCCTTTAGACAAACCATGTACCGTAAAATTGGGAAAATAGACTAACACAAAGTCATCTACTTTATACTTCACAGGTGAATAATGATGGGAATTATAATGCTATTGTTGTCCCACTTGTATATAGCTCAAGTGTTTAATAGACTTTGCTTGGATTAGTGGAAGAATGCTTGTCATATATTGATCCCAAAACCTAACATTGGCAACTCTTGGCAATCATGAACGTAAACTCAATTTGGTAATATTGGATTATGACTATATAGAAGTTTATATGGTGAAGCACCAATAGAACTCTGCACCCATGTGACATATACATACCGAAAGGACAGCAAATAATTATCCCAATCTGAATGCTAAAAGTTCATATCACATACTTTGTGATCACCTCTTTAAATGTCCAAACAAGCCGTTTTATCAAACCATCTAATTGTGGATGATAATCACTCGTAAAATTATGGTGTATCCCCAATCAAGATATTAAGATATAAAATGCCTTAGCTATAAATGTGGGACCATTATCTAGAAGAATGTTTTTTGGATAGGAATGTTGGAACACCACTTGATTGAGGAGGAAGGATCTAATAATAGTTGTAAACACACTAGCAAAAGCTTTGACTTCTACTTAATAAATCAAGTAGTCATAAGCAATGATAACATATTCATTACCAACAGTCAACCATGGAAAAGGCCCCATCAGATCAAATGCCACTAAGTTAAATGGATGGGAATTTGCAATTGACTTCAACCATCTTTCCATAACACAAGAGAGAGTATTACAAGTTTGGCGTCAAATGTAGCTATGCACATATTAGATAATATCACGTCATATTTTCGGCCAATAGATAGACTTGTTTAACTTTTTAATCACACAATAATGTCCCATATGCTCACTTAGAATAGGAGAATCATGGTAGGCATGAAGAAAATGTGGAATAAAAATTGAAAACACCATTAACCGTAAATGATCATTAAAATCCATCCCCATAAAGTAAAGAAAGTCATCCTCAAATGATATTGAAAATGTAAATGCTGAAATGGCAAGTTATTAGCAAATGATGCAAGATTCTCAAATTTATTGTGAAGCCTTCGGATCCATGGCTCAACCTTTTGAACCTCACCAACCTCATCAAGAGAAGGTAATTCTTGCTCTACACCTTGAGGACACTGAATATCAAGTATAGCAATCATTGACAACACAAAATCCTTATTCTAAAAATCCATAAATGTTGGAATAATAAGCTTGTTAAAAACATGAGAAGAGAGTAAAGAAAGAGCTCAAGAAAGGGCATCAACATTAACTATAAAACTCTTTAAGCAATGAACAACATCAAATTTATATATCAAGTGTACACTTGAGAGACTCGAGAGACGGTCTATCAGGATTTAAATATAAAAAGAAATGGCCTATGAATAAGAGTGCACCTCATTTTCCAATTAGTTAAGGGTCTTGGGATATTTAGGATTAAACATTATTAGTTTTGAACAATACTGAGCTGGGTAACCTCCTAAGAAGTCTAAACTCAAGAGCTTATAGTTGGTATAGGAGTTGGTCTCAAGTCTAACTCTATTGGTTAGCTTAAAGGAACTATACCATATGTTGAGATTGACATATAGCAACTTTGGCTGAGCTTGACTTAAGGGGTAGGATGTCAAAAGAGTGGGGCTCTTAAAAGAGCTACAACTTTCAACTTTTGTTCATAAGGGTGTGAATTTGCAAGGAAGCACAATAGATTGTAAGCAACCAAAAAGAATAACTCAAAAAACAATATATAAAACTTTAAATATAAAAGAAAAGGGTCTGAACCCTAAGGGTTTTGAGATATTTAGGGTTAAGTGTCTTTAGTACTAGGTTAGATGATTTTTTGGGAAGTCCAAACTTAAGAGTTTATGTGAAACTTCAAAGCCTACTGAAAAATATGACCAACCAAGATCTTTACTTCAATAATGAAGTAACTGTAGTATGATCACTTTTTAATAATGTTTGAGAATCATATAAATAGGCATAAAGTTTCTCGAAACCCTAAAGTACTACTAAACACTCCTCTATCGTGGAGTAGTTCATCTCCACTGGTGTAATGTACGGCTGATGTATACAATGGGATCGTTGACCAAGCACACTCAAGCTCTCTTGCATCAGCATACTTCCAAGATCGATATTAGAAGCATCCACATCCAAAATGAAAACTCAAGTGTAGTTAGGATATGCCAAAACTAGAGGAGTTGTCAACAACTCTTTGAGATTTGTAAATGCCCACTTACAATCCACGAACTAAGGGAAAGATGATGTTAATAGCTTCAACAATGTTTGTAATAGTGCAGTGATCAACAAAATGGCCGAGATAGTATACTTTGCTTAAAAAGTGTTAAATATCATTCACACACTTTAAAGTATAGAACTTGAGAATAGCCATAAGCCAAATTGATTCCACAAGAACCACACCATGGTCTAGATTGACGTAAATACTAGTGGCTGGGACATTCTTGCTTGATCAAAACACTTCCTGTAGCTGATGCTTGCAAGAAATGGGAGGAGAAGAAACACCCACAGCGCCAATGCCCAGATTATTCCCACATTTGGCACGCTGCAGGCCGTGGAGCTGTCCGGTCACCTTTCCTGGGAAGAATGCCAGGAATGCTAGGCTCATGGTGGTGGTCTGGAGGAGGAGTGCCAGGAGAATTGTGAGCGCCATAGAGTGCCATAAGCAAGAATTGCATGAAATCCTTGATTTGTGGAAGAAATGCAAGAGGAGAAATGGCTGGAGCCATGAACAAATGGCAACGTTTTGGAATTTGGAGAAGAAGGTGCATGCGGCTGAGAGAATGGCAAGGTGCAACACCTTAATCATGTCTCTTGCTGCTTGTTTGAATGTACAAATAATTATATTAAAATCACCTAAAGAATATTTCTCATCAAGTATTATTTATGGGTATTTATAATTTGTAAGGTATTCTACACTCTTAAAATTAGTTTTTAATCAGTGTTTAATACTAGTTTTTCTACTTATTTTAGAAATAAACTGTGTTTAAAATTGATATCTAGAAAAGAAAAAGTAAAGGAAATGTGTGTCTACTTGTAATACAACAGGATGTCTTTTTAGCTTATCCCCTTGTGGACATCTACATTTAGATCTCCTCTTCCCACTTGTTTCTTTGAATTATAAAACATTAAAGCCATAGCACAATTATATTTACTTGAGTTGCCATTTAATCTAAGGAACTTGCAATGAGAGGTGGGTTTGTCTTTGGCAATTATTGGATGATCATCACCTTGGATATATTGAAGAGCAAAGCTTTGGATTTTCTCTTTGTTCCCACAGAAGGAGTATAATAAGAAAGAAAATCATATTTCCAATGAGCCAACCTCCTAGTCAAACTTAAGCTTAAACTTCTAATCTATCATCCATAACTATATATCAAGGAATTATTAAGCCCATTTGTAGATCTAACTATTAGGTATAGGTAAAATAGAGAGAGAGAAGATAAAGGCTCTAGTAAACAAACCAAACTTGTCAGTAAGATTTAGATAAATTATTTGTAAATAGGAAGTTAGATTTGTTTACATAGTCACACCCTTTTGTCAGAATTAAGAATATTGAGAAAGAAATGGATTATGTGACCAATTTACAATAGCTACCCTATGACTAAAAATT